ACTTCTCAGTATCTGCAAGGGCATGGGACTGGTTGTGAGCAGGTAGGGTGGAACAAGTGGTTCTCTACTTGAACCACTGATTACTCCTTGACACTGGGAGAGAATGCTGCAGGTACAGCTAGCTCTGAGCTGAAGAGAAGGAGGCCCTTGCCTTGGACAGCTGTGACTGAGAAGGCAGCAAGATCACCATGACAGGACTGTCTGTCCCGGTGCTGTGGAGGGTTGACTCCTTCTGCTCCAGAAGAGAGAAAACTTGGGCTGTAATTCTTCCCTTTCACTGTCCCTGACCTCAGCTCTCGTTTTCACTGCCAGGAGCAGGAAGACCAGCCTGCATCCTAATCGCTTCCCACCTCCCACCTTCCCTGTGCTTCTGCCCAGCCCGCAGCTCCTTCTCCTCAGATGGCAAAGCTTAGTCTGTGGGACCAGGGCTGAGATACCTGCTCCTGCTCCTGCCTGTTTGCTGATAGGAGGTGCTCAGGTTTGGAGTGGTGGTGTTGAGGTTTTTGGTGCCTCTGCATCCCTATGTGAAAAACAGGGTCTGGTCTGTACCCCTCATTTCTCCTAGTGGTGTGAATCTTAAGGACGTTCTTACTCAAAAATGTGTCATTAAGGAATTAAATCCTGTTGGAAGTCCTAGATGTGCTCACAAGTCATTTTTCTGCTTTTGAAAGTAGTGCCATAATGTGTTAGTGTTTTTAGATCACTCAGATATTTTCAGCTGGAGAAAAATCTTTTATTTTCCTTGTTAATTGTGCTATGAATAGATCTTAGGCTACTGAGGAGAACTGAGTCAATATGTTGAAATGGTGATCCCTCGTGAGTTCAGGTGTACACCTGGCTGCTCTGAATTGCTTACTGAGCTGGGCTGCTGAAGCGGTGACAGCTTCTACCAGCTGCAGATCTGTCCCAAAGTTTCCTGGGCTTTTTACGAAGACGTGGCAAGCTGCCACCGCTCCCAGCTCCTTGGGGCTGTGGATTAATACTGCAGTTTAGAGCCTGATCTTTCAGTGTGAATCACAACGGACCCCTGCACTGTTCAAATTATCAGTAAAGAAACTACAGAGCGTCATCATTTATAAGCTGATTTTACTCCTTCAGATACAGTAGGAAAAAGCTGTGCATGTAATAACCACAAATGAAAGGGGAAGGGGAATCAACCAAAGGGAAGATGTTGCAGATACTATTAACATTTGGAAAAGATTTTCAAAATGATGGGCTTGACCCTTTTCTAGAGTGAATCAGCATACCCAAGCTGACTACAGGAGAGCTACAGGAATCAGGACATCTGCACGCTGGCTTCAAGGTTTTCAAGAAGGGATTGGTGAGGATAATGATGGTGGGTTTAAAATTTTGCATGATTTTTTAAAGGAAGAAAAATCTAAGGAAAAATCACAACATTGCTCAATATATGCACCCTAAAGGGATGCATCTGAAAGAAAAAGTGGATGAGTCTCCACTACAGCTCGGTCTTTGGTCTCTGTAATGGGATTGCTGACAAGTGACAGGTATTAGAGGAATAAAATGCTAACCATGAGATGAACTCGGCTCCATCAATAGGCAGAATAAGCAAAATAGAAAGAATTATCAGGGGTAGAGGATTTAAATACCTTTGTGTGGGTAAATTATCAACTCATTTCATATAGCTTTCACTGGCCAAAGAGAGAATATCTCTGGAGACATTTTACTGAAGGCAGAAACCCAATTAGAATAAGATTGTTACACAACTAATAAAGTGTTTTCAGACAGAGAATTATTTTTAGCACTGTAGAAATATTAAAGCATTAGAGCAAAACATGTAAAAGCAGAGAAGAGAACAGAAATTTTTCATGATCTTTAGGCTCCTTGATCCCTCATTTTTGAGGATCGGTTGGTGTTCTGGTGGCTTACAGCACTAGCCAGCTTTCCCCCTTGCATTTGCCCATACACAGTGACACCAGTGCCAAATCTCGTTTCTTTTCAGAGCTAATGCCATTCTAGATATGCTAGAAACTTTTACTGTTAGAAATGTGGAAGTATGTTCATTCAATGGCATAATCGGGTTCCTTGCCTCCTTCAGCTGGGTGAAAATTTACAGGGGTCAAAAAAACCTCTGACCCTGATATCTTTATGTTAAACTAGCAACCAAGAATGTTAAGAAGTTCATGTGGTGTGACTGGGAAGTGATGCATAACTGCTTCTGCATTAAAAAGACTCATTATTTAGCAAGATGCAGTCACTATGAGTTGTTTTCATAAGTATTTAATAATTGCATATATTTGCCATGCAGCTTTATGTTCAAGATTATCCTCCACCCCTTTTTCTTACACACTGTAGTTCATTTAGGTGGTCTAAATACTTAGGATCTCGTATGTGTGACCCTGCTTGGAAGTTAGGAACACGGTGGAGCGAGTTCCTGAGAGCACACAGTTTGTCCTGTGACCTCGGCCGAGATCGGAGGTGGCGAGCTCTTCCCAATTCACCAAGCCTGTGGGATGCGCAGGTTGGATGCCAGTCTGAAATGTGAACTGGTGACAGTGCTGAAGCAGTGAAAGAGCCTGCATTTGGCCATGGTGTTGCTTCTCCCCAGTGCTGTCAACACCAAGACTTAGGTTGCGATAGCAAAGCAGAAAGCTGCTGCTTCAGTGATTATTGCTCAGACGTTGATATACCCAACCATCTCTCCCTCCGCATCTCCCCTCAGCGCCGTTTCTGCTGTATCGAATAATTGTGTTTCTTTATAAACAGTAATTTAGGACAATTAGGAGCGATAGCATAGTTAAACCTTTAAAAGGTTATCTGGCAATGTCATTTTCTTGACTAATGTGTTCCTGCTGCCATGTCGTTTGTGAACAGACATGTGTTAGCCAGCTAGTGCGCTTCATCTGGGGTGATTTATTTGCTCTGTAAATTGGGACTGAAGCAATAATGGAAAGTGACATTAATTGTTTAACAGAGTCCTCTTTGTCACATCCTCTGCTTTCTCTGGGGTGTTTGAATGTTGAAACTTGTACAAAACTAATTGAAATTGCTGTGATGAGGACCGGTGTCCACTGAACTTTCTGTTCTTGAATGTCAGCACACTTGAATGTCTGTTCAAAGCATGAGAACTGAGCAGCTAACAGCAAATATCAGAGTTTCTTCTGGCATGCTATTATTAAAGAAGGCACTCCCTGTTAGAAATAGTAACACTTCCAGCTTTGTTGTCAGCTTTGTGCAAGGCTCAGTGACAGGGGGATGGTGGTGCACCCCACTACCTAGACTTGCTGGAGAAGTTGCTGGTGGGGGACTGGGGTGCTGGCAGACAGACCCCCTCACGGCCACCCTGGGCCTGAGGGCTGACTCTCACCACCATTCAACCCACCACTTGCAAGGGCCTTGAAATGCCATTGGGAAAAAAAAAATCAGTGCTTTGTTACATTGCAAAACATTATTTTGCCCAATAACGCTTTTTCGTACTTTTCTAGAAGTGACACTGTAATTTCCTTCTTTTGCTCTCAAAAAGTGGCTGTGAAAAGCTGGATTTGGAGCATGGTTTTATTTGCAAGGTGGCTCCCCTCTGCTTATTTCCATCCTCTGCACTCTGTATTATCACAACACTCTGCATGTGTCTGCTTGGTACAGTGGAAATCACCGGATACCAGAACTCAGACTCCTTTTCTCAGTGGCCCAGCCCCTCTTGGCCTTTTAAGTAAATGCTTCTCCTTAGCATTAGCTTTGCTTGACTGTTTATTTGTTTCTTGGGGATGATGCTGTAAGCACTAGAACAGTTTGTACTCTGCTGTAGCTTTCTATGAAGAGAGAGTTTTTCTGTAAGAAGCCGTGAGGTGTTATTTGGAAGAGGAAGAGCAATTATCTGGGTGTTTTATGAGCATCTCTGCTTGGAGTCTGGTAGATAAAAGTATTAGTGAAGAAAGTCATGCTAAGGGGATACCCAGATTCACTTGATTTTGTTTTTTCTGAGTTATAACAGGCAGTGTTTTGACTTTTTAAATGTCTTGTTTGTTTGTTTGTCTTACTGGTATATTCCTTGCTAGCTCACTTTTTAAACTGTGAGATTTGAAGTTAGCTGAAATCCCTTCACAGTGTGAACCTGAAGCATGATGAACTCAGAAGCTGATGGAAAACCTCCCGATTTCATATCTCTAGAATCAGTGAAAGGCTTTTCATTTGCTTTAATAGCACTAGGATCAGCCTAGGAATTCTAGATAATTGATCTGCCAAGATCAATTTCCAGTCTTTATGAAAAATAAATATAATGATTTTTACACTATTCTATTCCTCAGTACTCTCAGTACTGCAAAAAATCTGTACCTTAATATACAGTAGGGACTATATTTCACTAAAAAATCAGAAGGCATTTAAATTTACTCAGTTTGACAAAAAGAAGTCTTGTTGCTGAAATAAGATATCTAATATAAATTAACATTACAGCCACATCTGATTAGGAATTAGTCTACTTTTTATAATTGCAGTCTGAATAAGATAAATGCATACAATAGTCGTATTGAGCACTCAAACGACATAACTCGAAAGGACAACTTCAAAGGCAACCTGCCTAATATATTTCTTTAAAAGAAACTCAAGGAGCCTGCCATTTACAACGTGAGTCCTGCTGGCTGGTCTTATGCCACAGTGCTCAGGAATGACAAGTTGTTCGTCTGGGTTTGGAGCAAAGATTTCCAGCAGTATGGAAGGGGAACCTTTTCTTGCTTAGACCAGGCCTTGTATGTGGGCAAGGCTTTCCAAATTTCACAGGATTCATTTTGATCTTCTGATTAGCTGTCTTATTCCACGATTCTTGTAATTTTGTCAGGTCAATTATCTGGTGTTCAGTGTTGAGAATGAAAGAGACAGCTTGGGCTGACACCGTCATTAGGTGTCAGCAGCTTAGGCACATCCTGTAATACAATCCCTGGGTGATTACTTATCATTGTTAACACCTGATTATAAAAAAGAATGGTGGAAGAAAAGTACACTAGAGCAGTACACTGTGAGTGCAAAGAGATTTCTCCTGAACGCAGAGGTGGATCATTTTGTTGCACTTAATTACATCTTTTGAGGTTCTGTTGCAGGTTACTGTCTGAGGTTTACTGGTTTAACTATGTTCTGACTGCTTCTTCACATGCGGAGACATTGTTCCTTTCCTCTTCTCACCTGGTTCTGCTGTTTTGTTTTGTCGTTCCCCCCCCCCACAGAAGATAGATGAAGAGAGCGAGGCAAACTTGCTAGCCGTTCTCACTGAAACACTGGACAGCATCCCTGTGGATGAGGATGGATTGCCATCGTTTGATGCACTGACAGATGGAGATGTGACCAACGAAAATGCCGCTAGCCCTTCCCCAATGCCTGACGGCGCCCCTCCAACTCAGGAGGCAGAAGAGCCGTCTCTAGTAAGAACCCTTACTACTGTTTAACAGGAATTGGATGTGCCTCTGGCTACCCGCTGCATGGGTATGATGTGGTCACAGTAAGGTCTGGACTTTTCATTTAGACTGGAAAGGAAAATCAAGTAAAGAACTGAAAATTAAGGGGGAAAAAAAACCTACAAAAAGCCATAGGATGACTAATAATGCAATCTTGTAAAAAGTGCCTTGAAGAGATTGGTTTTGAGATTCTTGTGCTAATGGCTGACACTTTTGTTTTTCATTCTGTTCAAATAAGTCAGGATAATGGTTTTTAATTTGTATTTCATTTCTCGGGGCTCTTTTTGTTTGTATGTTTGGGTGTCACTTTCAGTATCTTTTCAGAGAGGCCCATTGAGTCTGGCGGGATGTGGGGCTAATTTTGTGCCTTTAACATTGATTTGACCAGTAAGCACCAGCTTAGTGCTAATCAGGGCAAACCCAAGCCATCAGTGAGGATGTGGGTGACACCCACATTTTGCTCAGTAAAACCAGTTTGAGATGTGATTCTGTTTCTGCTGAAAGCCCCTTATCACTGCCTTCTGTGGAAGCAGAGCCAGATAGGTGCATCTTGACGCTGTATCCATTAGTCTCTTAAGTTAACATCTCTGTTTAGATCAGAGGCCTCTTCTGTCAAACAGATCGCCGAGAATTTAATTTTGCTGTTAATTCAGAAATCCAAGACCCCTGTCGTTTCTGCTTGCCCTGAAGTATACTGCAGTAAAGGGAGCAGAAATACACTGCCAGTCCAGAAAAAAATGAAATCTGTTTGCTCCGGGGAATATTGAGCCCTTCTTTCTAGTTTATTGTACTTTGCTTGCTGATATTGATAAAGATAATTTTAAGTATCTATGCAAAAATGTAGATAAGTCATTTTAATCCATAAAGATGCATAACTTTACTCTTTTCCTTCCTTTCCCTGATGTGTTTGTAGCTTAAGAAGCTCTTGCTGGCTCCAGCCAACACTCAGCTAAATTACAATGAATGCAGTGGTCTCAGCACACAAAACCATGCAAACACTAATCACAGGACCAGAACAAGCCCTGTGGTTGTTAAGGTACAAACTTAATCTTTGTAATAAGGAAAAAGTGTAACAAGGTCTTCTATGCTTTCAGCAACTAAGCAAGCAGTGAATCTATGTGTATTGTATTAATCTGCCTACTATCTTGCAACTGCTTTTAAAAAAAAAACGTGAACAGGTTATAGACTGGGTTCCAGAAGATCACCTGAGCTCCTTATGCTCTGAATATTTCATTTCTGCTTTTTCTCTGGGCAGAGTTCAGTTGTAGTCCTACCGTCTGTTACTCTTGCCTACTTTATTGATACACAGAGTAGTAGGGGGTACGATAAAATTTGCTGATGGACTGATGTTGTTTATGAGTGACTCCAGGATGTGGGACTGCCATTTTACCGTCTGTCTGAGCTAAGAAAAATGACACTGGATTCTTGGCGAAACATGTATATCAGCCATTAACTGAATAGAATGGGGGCTCTGACATAATTCTGTTAGCAGGCAGTATTAAACAATGTTTGTCTTGCCGTTCACTGTAACTGAAAACAAAGCATTTAGGGGTACTTAAGAGAGTTGTGAATACTGGGCTCAAGCAATCAGCAGCAAATTAAGGTTTAAACCAGCTTATTTTTTTGTTCACAGTAAAGGCGCTGTAGGGTCTTGTTAGTTACATGTTGCTGAGTAGGAACATTGAAATGTAGGAGAAATGAAATAAAAAGCTGCATAAATGTCATTTAGGAATTTTAAATGTAATTTTCTTTCCTTGTTCTGCAAACAATTATTCACAGCTCATAGATCTAGTACACTTAGACTGAACACTTCATTGAAAATCTCATCTCTTCTGAAAACCTATATCCATTCTGATAAGGTTCAGCTCACTAATTTTAGCTTTTTTTATTTTATTTTATTATGCCCTGTTTTTAAGACTGAGAATTCATGGAGCAATAAAGCGAAGAGCATTTGTCAACAGCAAAAGCCTCAAAGACGTCCCTGCTCTGAACTTCTCAAATATCTGACTACAAACGATGACCCTCCTCAGACCAAACCAGCAGAGAACAGGAACAGCAGCAAAGAGAAATGCACCTCCAAAAGGAAGCCTCATCTGCAATCTCAGACAAATCATCTGCAAGGTAAGTGTGAGACCACAGAAAAGACGGCTTTGGAACGAGCAGG